TCTCACACCAATATCACAAGAAAAGAAAGGGATTCAATCCCATCATGTACAATGCAATATATTTTTAAACATGTCATAGATAATACGATAATTTTCCACTAATATTATTCCTAATCATACTTTGCCAGAGGCCATTGCGCTAAACATAGACTACGCAAAACAGTATAAAATGATTTACTAAAATCGATGAAAAACAGTTTCCCCTTCGTATTTTGGAAGATATCTATCAGAAATTAAAAATATATATATTATCTATTGTGGAATATTATTTCCGAAAGCCAGCTGTAAGTCACTTGACAATGGACATTTCCCAGTAGTTATCGGGGTCGACTTGGCTACCTTTGTTTTTTTCAAAAAGGCTTTATGTAATCATCTGACCTTGCTTATTTTGAACAAGGTTAAATAACACGGACATGTCAATTGGACTTACATCACTCATGTCTCTATTGTCATTATGTACATCAGTATTCACGTTTTTAAAATGGTTATATAATGTGTTGATTTCAATTTCACATGGTTGGCTCTCGCTTTTACCAAATGACTTTAAGGACAATTTGTATGACTTTCTAATAGTTTGTCTACAGTGTTTTCACAGTGAACAGGGCAGAAGGTGTGAACAACAAAGAACACCAGGAAAACTATACACGCAGTGATACTTGATCACACGTAACTCTTAACTGCGTCAAAGTCGTATCTCTATGTGCATATAAACCGAGAAATGAAGAAAACTCTTCAGTCAACATTGGGAGTTTACAGAATCACGGCACAGAATTTCACTGCAAGCAACAGGCCCACTTTGGCACAGCGGACGTAAGTTACATCAACTGTTTTGCGTTATTAGAGGATTGTATTACAAGAAGCTACATTTAATTGTTTCACATGCATTTAGTGAATTACATAAATTTAACTCTTCAGATAAACTATCACTGTATCAAATTTGCATATGCATCCAGTCTATAAAGTGTGGCAGTTTTCGAGTCATTCTGACATAAAGGAGATAATATGATTTCCAACAGAAAGTGTTCATTGATGTCAACGCTGTGAAATTTACTCTAAGGTCAGTTATATATGGGGTTACTTCGTATGGGGATAATATTATCACGGCCATATTTTATACAGGTTACGTTTTTTAAAGGTAAATATCGTTAAATGTGATTTTTTTGTGTTCGTCGTCAAATCTTGTTCAAAGCTTACTTCAGTGATAATTATTCGTTTCTGCCAAAGTGGACGGCAGTTCTTCGGCCGTTTCAGCAGAGAGTCTGCAGTGAGGTTATTCGTGTCATCACGTATGATAAATTTATAGGCGATATAATCCTGATCCAACCATACGATAAAGCAATTCACTTTATCAGCCCCAAATAACTATTAAACGCAAAAGGTCACGAAACTCATATATCGATAATGTGCATTCATATATTATCAAAAACGAACATATGTTTTATCTCACTCACATAGGAAATCCTGTTTTAAGCACATTGAGTTGTTTTAAACTTTGAATCAGTGCCTTAAAGAAACAGAAATAATCTAAGCTCTGGAGGCTGTTTCGTGTCAACAAATTGTTCCAAGAATATTCCGTGTGAAGCCCATTTCTGGTGTCCTCCACCGTGATGTAGCTGGAATATTGCTAAAAGCGGCGTAAAACCAAACTCAGTCAGTCAGTCAGTCAGCCCAAGAATATTCCATTTATGTAGATATAATTACATATATCCCTTTTCTTTAATCATACATATCGAAAAAATAATAATGTGCACCACCGACATGCATTGAGTTATAAATACTAATGTACAATTTGTGATCTCCGTTAAACTATTAATTCTATCATCTGAGAATATTTTTACAGGACAATACCTGAAAACGGAACGTCTTTTTCTTACAGCCCTCATATATATGAAATGACGTACATATTTCTGTATAGTTGTAAACAGGTTTACTATATTACTGCGACTCGTATTGTGCTGCAGGGGTTAAAGCGCCCGCTCGTCACGCTGAAGACCGGGGTTCGAATCCCCATATGAGTACAATGTATGAAGCCCATTTTTGGTATCTCCCACTGTGATATTGCTGGAATATGCTAAAAGCGGCGTAAAACCATACTCACTCACGTATTGTGATGCAACTCCATATATATGTATATTGCATAAACGGACATGATTTTGTTAAGTAACAATAAATATGGTTTGCACTTGATGTACAATATCAGATATAACGTGCTTCCCGACAGCTGCGTCATCAGTTATGGAGATTATAAACAAGAAATTAAACGAACATATTGGCATATTTATTATGACTGTCATATTATGCGATCAGATTCGTCAATACGTTGGTCGCATTAAGCATCAAATAAGCACATAATTTCATACCATCATTCAGCGTGGGTAATTCTATTAACACTGTTGCGCAAATGTATATTCACCTGTGGCAATGTATTCACGGTATGCCATATCGCGGTTCGATTTATTTGTTTCTTAATTGTTTGATAGTGATTCTGGAGGTCGGTGCGTAAATAATGATGCATACAACTTTATGAATGACAGCTTATTGATTATTGCATAGAGCATATGCAATAAACAAATAAGTTGTCATCCATAAAGTTGTATGTCTTAACATACAACTTTATGAATGATAACTTATTGATTATTGCATAGAGCAGATGCAATAAACAAGAAGTTGTCATCCATAAAGTTGTATGTTTCATTTTTTCTTGTTGTTTAAGATATGAAATATTCGGACTAAGAACTAGTTAGAGTATTTAATCTGGCAGACAATATAGCGTTTGGACATACAGACTACAACCTACACATTTGTTAGTTTTTTATGATGCAACTAGTTATGATTACAGTGATACTCCGCTTGCTCACATTCATGTAGTCTGTCTCACAGTCCCTGAACCACATTAATTTCCCTACTACCAAGCCCTTCTCTGCAGTGCTAAAGCCCTAAATGAAGCAAGTCTAGATTTCCTCAGGTTCCTGAATCTCTGGTCTCCCTAGGGCTCCTTTTCAATATAAATGGGCTTGTTTGTTACTATCAAAATTATATTTATTCAGAGACTAAGCCTTAGTCTAACATTCATGCTGCAACAAGTTAATCATATGGTATGAAAATTCAAGCAGCCGGCCAGAGTAAATTTTCTGAGTAAACAAACCTTAACACAGTCGTGAAAAACAACACGCTGAATGTGTAAAATCGTTGACCTATTCGTTCTCTACTGCTGTGACAAACACACAAGCTATTTCCATTCAGCCGCAGTATTCTGACTTATGTATTTAACAGTGATATTTCTATTTGGTCCATATCCTCTTTTACCCATCCGTATCTGCGGTACGTTACCCATAGTAACAGGTCAATTGCCTCTAAACGAGTAAACTCAATGAGCTTTAGAGCGTAAACAAAATTTGCCTGGCCAAGAGAAGTACAGCGCTCGCATGAAATGGATTGAAAAAGAAATACGACTGAACCAAACTTAGAGTCTTCTGGAAGCAGTCGAGCTTTACACAGCTTGTGAAGCTCTCGTGACTCAACCTCGATCAATGTTGTTGGACACAAGATGGCAGTTCAACGCGGCAGTTTCACGCATGCTCACACGAGTGATGACGTCACGAGGTCAATGGTAAAATCCACCACGACCTCTGTTGACCGAATTGTTACAGTGCTATCGCAACGTGCACAATGTATCTAAGCTGAGAAGCAAAACAAAGAGTCTTGGGACTGATGTGGGCGTGTTTCGCTGAATCTTTTGTTTATTGAGATAGTAACATATCACATGGTTTATAGTTTTGTCATATATCGAGATATAGAGGAAAAAGTATGTGATTGCATCACCAAGGCCATATTTTTTTCCGCACACATTCATTGTATCATGATGCACTCCATAAATTGTAAGTTGACTTAAAGCACAACCATCAATGCAGCTGACGGGGGTGACATCTGGCATGCATGTTTCTTTTAAAAAGGTATACATAAAGATTTTTAAATTGATATTTTTGCATATATATTATCGTTGCAAAACATATTTGCAATCAAGAGATAATCTTCAATAATAAAGCAAATGCTATTATAAATTATCTGTGCGCGTCATCACAATTCTCTCCATACGTAATTTGTTTTCCGTTTATTTAAGTAACTTATCTGCATTACCACATGCCATATAACAAGCTCTGTAAGGACTAATGACTGATCAGCTACTTGCAAGAGCTGACCCTGTTTAGCCCCGGTAACCTTGTTATCATGGCTTCATGTGTAGTATTACTACGTGTTATATAACATACAGCGACCTAGCAAATAATAGCCACCGGTGGCCGAAAGCACCTGGTATTCTGAGGACACGCTCAGGTCAAGGGCTATTTTTACCACAAAGCCCTCACGGATGACCATCTAAGCGTGAGAATCACTGACCACAGCTGCCTTGGACATTACCTAGGGTAATTTGAATACAGTTGCTCTCTGAACAGTCCCCGTGTTGCCACCATACAGCACTATCAGGTCATGTGAGTTCATGGTACCACGTGACCAGGCTTGAAGTATACCGGGGCCTATATGTGCGGGCATGTTACATAACTCACTATTTTCAGTATGACCTCGAGTGGCCGACACAAAATGAAGTCAAAATGATGTAACTGAAGTCCTTGTCCAGGCTCGGTATGCACAAGACAATGTCCATCAACCGGCATAAGCTTGTGGCAAAGATAAACGTGAGTAGAGTTTTTTTCACAGAGATATCCTTTGTGTCCATTGGCACGATCGACCTCCGCGATAGGCTGTGATCACGGCTAAGGCCTGTTTCTGACCAAACTCAACCCTAGTTTCATTTGGTATGTTACTTATATAGTCTGTTTAGTCTTTCTAAACGTTTATTGGTTTCAGCATGTGTCCATTAGCTGCGATTGCATGTATTAACCGTAACCCGCTCATGGCCTATTTTTAGTATGGCCGCATATCGGGGTCACACAAGCTTGAGAGCTAGTGATAGACATTAGCGTGCGGGGCTCACACCAACCAGTAGTGCTTGGACATTGAACATGTACTGACTGTTGCTGTAGCCGAAGCATAGTGGACATCTCTTCATCTTGTTGATGTGATTACATATATGAGGCAACACTCTTGCACTTTTTGTTGCATAAGTGCACTGCCACATATTTAGTTTGTTTATCATCACCCTTACACAAGGCTTGGCTTACAATTACGCAACCACTCAAGTATGCTGGACTGGGGGTGTCTCCGTCTTACGCAACACCATCGGTAAGTCAGTTAGTAGTACCGTCGCCTTGTGAATGGTTGTTTTCAAGAACGTTTACCAGTTTCCTCACAGTTAATCTTGATTGAAATGCCCGTTTTAAAGCGGAAAAACGCTAAACCACGTAAACTGGTTCCTGTTGATGTGGGGTATGTATACATTATACTCAGTTGATTCGATGTTTTTTGGTTGATGATTGCATACCTCGTTCCTTTTGTTGTATTTGTTGTTTTGTTGATTTTCACTCGTGTTTTTTGAAAATTTTCTTCATTATCTGTTTTTGGTTTTATGTTTTGAAAGTTTCGACTTTAATATACCAATACATTATGGATGTAAACAATGGTGTTGGTAGAAATTAGAACATGTAAAGAAGTATTCACATATTACGTTTGTAATGACCGATGAAATTATTCTCTGACAGTCCCAAATGAACGCTTATCAACATAACATGCCCCAAAATGAGAAAAAGAAGAAAAAAACCCCACTTGTTACACAAGAGGCCTTGGGAATCACAGAAAAGGGTATTTTCATAAAGAATTAGGTTTTGGTTGCAAACAACTATTGGTTGCTGTCAACGGTGCGTTTATGTAACTGCAATGGAGCACATGTCGCATTTTATGCGGACAGAATGCATACCATTTTCACGGACACTGGCATAGCGCGAATAGTTATCTTCCATAGTTTTACCTCTCAGCTTAGTTTTTAAAATGGCCATTTGTATTCAAGAAACCTATTTCTGGGTATACGCAACTGATGTCATTTTCGAATTAACAATTTTACAGTGCCCTTTCTTCTTCAATGATTTTTACACCAAATTTTACTTTCTGGCAATATTGTATTAATAAACTTACACCCTGCGAAATTTGTAATGTAATATGTAAGAAACTATGTGATGTTTATTTTCTGATTACGGTTATGAAAAGTAGTGATTGTTTCAACGAATATTGTTTCCGGCAAACCCTAACATGTGACCGCGTGCAAAGGTAAGACACGCTTGTCAAATGTAAGTGATCCTTGTAAAAAACAAGTTGTGACCTACCAATGACCCCGAGTAGCTTCAGTCAAGAGGAAATTGATGGAACCCCTTTATCGTGGTCAACACTCCCGCGCTCGCGTTAACCTGGATCCGAACTTACGAACTTGAAGTCAATGTCTTTCAGAACCTTACTGATATTCTTATTCGGGTAATGTCCCTGATATATTGTTGTTCAAATACATGGCATGTAAAATATTTTGCCACACCCATATACCTCACCAGGTACTGCAGTAGTAACGTGCAAAATACCTCCCTTTCACATAAACACTGAGATTGACATGTGTGCTGTTGAAATACTTTATTAAGAATGTACTTGTCACATCGGTATGAAATCTTAAAATATACCTGAACAAATAATATCCCAAGTCTAAAACTAGTCCCAGGACAACGTGTCTGCCAGTTTGTATAAAAAAGAAACAGAAAATACCCAAACAAAAATAGTTGTTTGAGAAACCACATTAATGACATTATAGTAAACATCTATAGATTTATGGGCAGGTAACTAACTGCAACGATTATCTGTGGTCGACGGCTGTTGCCCTCAACCGTTCAGGCATGGTTCAGTGAAAGAGCACAATCGATCTTCTCACATGCAGAAATGTGTGCACACCTTTTTCACGTTCATGGTTGGGTGGAACTTCGTCCGCCCTACTTCAGGCAACCTGAATATTATTACATCCTTTCAATCTAGCCATCAAGCTTATACGTGTTATTTAATCGGTCGCAGTAAATCTCAAGTTAAACATTACAAAACATGTCATGACTTGTTGATAGGGCGCTCTCATACGCAATAGCCATGGTTAGCGTGATATGCTGGTCACAACATGAAAGCTGATATTTGCTTATTACGAAAAGGGACATGCAAAGGACTTTGGTTAGAATAACGATCACGCGCGTTTACTTGTATGTGTTAGTTGAACAAGTTGTAACCAACACTGTTACGCTTGTTGTCCATATAAAAGAAGGTTCTATGTTCTCGGCCAACACTCAGTTCAATTTCATATGTAATGTCATGTTTGTCGTGAATACCATGGACACATCCCATGTAAATAGATGTGAACAGATTGGCTTTGAATTTCACGAAACATACGAATTCAGTTTTGATTGTAGGAAACAGTCATTTTACTCGACATGTCCATTAATATTCACGATTGTAATAATGTAGTAATAGAGAACCAGCATGATCCATTGCTGATAGTGTTCATAAGACATAAGGGATGCCTTATCATGTTCATGTAATGTTGCGTGAATCCCACATGTCAGCAGTTATCTTCACGTGTAATCTATTATCAGTAAACCGTACAGAGGTAGCAAGGAGGCAATTATATACTCATGCCAATGATGGTTGTCACCCCCTTCAATCTTTTTAATTGGAGAGGGTGTGTGGGGTGGGGGTGTGAGGTGTGTGTTGGGTTGGGGTGGGGAGGGGGGTGACAACCATTATTGGCATGAGTATATGAGGAGTATTCATTTCACAATCAAATGATGCTCTTCCTGCGTTTGTAACCAGACCAATACAACATGGATTCTACGTTTTCAAGTAATACACTCAGTTTCTGGTTCACGTTAAGAAGACTTTGATAAACTAGAACCACCACAAGCATGTGACGTCGACAACACCAATATCATTACTTATTTCTTTAGGTTTCACGTGCATGTAAGCTAGACATTCCGCAACAAATACGATCGCTGTTTCATGACGATATCAGTTAAATGTCTAATACATTATTAAGCATGTCATTTGGACACCCTTGTTTTCGCTGTCATTGTACGTGGTATATATGAATTATTACTGAGTGTAATTTACAGAATCAAACATATGTTTCACAGATGACTTTACTCCTGCAAATAATGAACGGATGGGGAAATAAGTGAGCATATGATAAATGTCTATAATACATTACTTCCACTCTCGTGTATCTTGAAATATACGTATCCTACTTTTTGTACAGCATAATCAATAGCTCTGTATATGTTACACATATTATATAAAACATTATCCCCCATGAATAAACCATTTCATGCGTGTTAGGTACATTTACAATTAATTGTGATGTATATGTAAACATATATGAAATACGTATAATGTGTAGTTTGAACATGTAACCAGAGTCTCATTACTCGGGCGCAGGAAGAAAGTAACACACTCACAAAACGTTTCATGTCACAAGTGAAGAAAAATCGAATCACGATAACCATTGTTTCTTGAGAGTCAGTTCTTAAGTTTCAACTTCAATGGCCCAATCACTTCGCAAGACGTACCAGTGACGGTGCACACATATTCATGTCCCAGCGTGGGTACTAAGTGTTTGTTGTCTTTGTTATCTTTATTTAAGTGGTGTTTACGCAACGTATTCTGATATAAATACATGCCTGTCCTAGTCACGAAAACTGGGTACGCCGCTTGAATGAGTGCCGATTGTCTTAGTATTGGTTGAAATATTCCGATAACAATTTGACAAATAATATACGATCTCCATATGTGTGAAATTGTTAAATAGAACCACCCCGAAGCTTTGAACAATAATTTTACACAATTTCCTCATGAATATGTATGGTATGAAAAGAGATGTACAGAACGATGTCATAGGAGTCTAAGAAAATACATTGATAAAGATTATTATGGTAAACGGTACTGTTACATTATGGCATGAATGCATATCTTAACACAAAGAAATGTTATGGGTTATTCCATTTTTATAATGTGCAGAAATTACCTCACGGTCAAAGGTGATACGTATTATACATTTAGCGAACATTCTATAGCTATCGCTGTGATGAATGCAAGCTTTAAAAATATAATCCCTATATAATAAATATAATGACACTTATAGATACTAATTGTCATTATTGTACATTCTTGTACTGTTTAGTTCCAAGGTCGTCAATGGAGGCAGTGGAGACGTTTGAATAAGAGGTTCGCTGTTATCCGAGCTTGATTTTGGATTAAACTTACATACGCGAGAGGTATTGTCATTAATTATCAACATCTTTGTTTTAATTCTATCGTTTAGTATGGGATAGTAAATTAATATTGATCACGTTGAAGTCACAGTGGTTTAGTTACAATGTAATGGATACAAAAGTACTCATGAAATAATAATGATAAAAAACCAGATGAATCACTGAGAAATGTACTTAGATATGAACTGTGTAGCGCTAACGCAGGTTCATGTAGTTTATTGATGGTGGGGTTTTGTAGAGTGATGTAATGGTGGGATGGGCCATGATAGAATTATGAGGCACAAAAGAATATAGGAGTTCAAACAGTACGTATACTTAGAGCGTAATGGACATACCTACCATTTTAATATTGCACTGTTCAATATCTATCACACAACGGGCAGGATATGGCCAGATCATTACGACTCCTTGTTGGGAGATTACCGAAACCTCATGAAGCATTAACGGAGGAATAAATCATAGAACAAGTTTTAGTACCCTGTCATGCATGACTGGAAAATAAGATCAAATAAATATAGTGTCATACACATATTGTCACAGAGCCATGGGGTTAGCTAAGAAAATCAATAAGTACCATTTGATTCGCGTTTACTCCAGCTACACGACTATTGATTTCGCCGACAAATCCCCTTTTGAGAACCAAATCCGACTATCAACGTTATCCTTCCATTACTAGAATCAGTACCTATGGAAACGTTTTTTTGCGTGCTATTTTACAGCTGTATCTCACATTATATCCCTTGTACTGATGGAATAAAGTATTTTTGATAGGTCTTCAGACCTTGTGTTCAATAAAATGAAACATTTGATGTTTCCTTCTTAAAAACAACAACAGTACAACAACAAATAAAATGTACTTAGTGACAAAATGCATAAAATATTAGCAGATTTTGTTTCTGTAATATAAGTATGCGTGCCTTAGTGACACCGTAACGTGTCACGGGCAACTAATCGCTCCCACGGTTACGCACGCTGATTTTGTAAACTAAACTATTGTATAACTCT